CTTGCAAGTGGGAACAGTGCCTGATTTACTTGGACGATGTGATAGTGTTCAGTAGATCTTTGTCTGAGCATTGGTCCAGGCTTCGAGAGGTGTTCCAGCGACTGCGAGCGGCTCATCTCAAGCTCAAGCCACGTAAGTGTTACATCGCACAACGCGAGGTGGGGTACCTCGGGCATCGCATCAGCGAGGCAGGCGTGCACACCGATCCGGAGAAGGTACGCGCCGTAGTGGAGTGGCCACGGCCAAGGAATCTGACGGAGATCAGATCATTTTTGGGGCTTGCCACCTATTATCGTCGATTTGTAAAGGGATTCAGCGAGATTGCACGCCCTCTCACCCAACTCACCTCCCCTAAGCACCCCTACCAGTGGACGGGGGCCTGCCAGATGGCCTTCACCACTCTCAAAGATCACCTCACCCACGCCCCCACCCTCGCTTTCCCCGATTTTACCACCGATTTTATTTTGGACACCGACGCCTGCAGCAGCGGGCTGGGCGCGGTGTTGTCACAGGTACAGGATGGGACGGAACGAGTCATCGCGTACGCCAGCCGGACCTTGAGTGGGGCCGAGCTGAACTATTGCGTGACCCGCCAAGAGTTGTACGCCGTGATTTTCGCATGCAAACAGTTCCGGCCGTATTTGTACGGCAGGAGATGTCGCGTCCGCACTGACCATTATGCTCTGCAGTTTCTTCTTACATTCAAGGAGCCGCGGGGGCAGATGGCCCGGTGGTTGGCGCAGTTGCAGGAGTACAACCTGCAAATCGAGTATCGGGCTGGCCGGACGCATGCAAACGCAGACGCCTTGTCGAGGCGACCCACGGTGTACGCCGAGACGCGGGCGGAGGAGGCCTGCCCGTGTTTCACGGGGGGACGCTGCCGGCAGGCAACGGACCCCCGAGAGGCCGCGGCCACTGACCCCCCCCCAGCGAGAGAGAGTGCAGTGTGCGCCACAGAGACCCTCACAGGTGGCACTGAGGATCCCGTCGACCGCCCGGCAAGCGCGGGACCCGCGGCTCGGGACCCGATCGGACGGATCCAGGAGGACATCGGCTGCGCCTTCCCGGGCCTAAACGACGAGCAGCTGAGACAGACCCAGCAGCGAGATCCGGATCTGGCGGCAGTGGAGGCGGCACTGCGGGAGGAAAAGAGCGCCCTACCAGGACCCTGGAGCGGTTTGTATGCCCGGTTGTGTGTGCAGAACGGAGTGGTACGGGAGTTAACCGAGGCCGGCCAGCCGGGGTGCATCTGTGTTCCTGCCCAGGTGCGACCCCAGCTGCTATGGCTGGTGCATGACCACCCACTCGGGGGCCACGATGGGGAACGACGTACTCGAGAGACCCTGCGTCGCCAGTATCTCTGGCCCAAATTGGCACAAGACGTGGCGGCCTGGGTACAGGGCTGCCGCGCCTGTCAGCAGTGCGGGCCGAAACCGGCACGATACCAGGTACCCCTAAGGCCGTTCCGCGTCAGCCGCACGAATCAGCTGGTCGGGATCGACCTACAGGGGCCATTCCCGCGATCCCATCGAGGCAACCGATATATCCTAGTCGCAGTAGAGTATTTCACCCGCTACCCCCGTGGCAGTGGCCATCCCTAATAAAACGGCCTTGGTGGTGGCCCGGGCATTTGTGGAACACTACGTACTTAAGCACGGGATCCCAGAACGAGTCCTCACCGACCAGGGTAGCGAGTTCGAGGCCGAGTTGTTCCAGGCACTGTGCCGAGAGTTCGGAATCCAGAAGGACCGAACCACAGCGTACCACCCCCAGGCGAACGGTATGGTGGAGCGCATGAATCAGACCTTAGCGGGGAAACTCAAACGTATGGCGGCCGCAAATCAACGGGATTGGGATGAACACCTCCCCTACGCCCTTTTGCCTACGCCACCACCGTACACACGTCGACGGGACAAACCCCGTTTTTAATGATGTTCGGCCGTGAGTCTCGTTTACCCGCAGATCTGCTATTCGGCGTCCCTTCCCCCCAGCCGGAGGAGGGAAGCCGCCCCGTGGAACACCTGTTGGAGACCCTACGAGAAGCCCGAGGCCGAGCATACCCGCAAGGGGAAGCCGCGCATCGGCGGCAGGAACAGGGCACCCGACCCCACATGGAACCCCCCTTATTCCTGACAGGCGCTAAGGTGTGGCTACACACCCCTCGCGTCGGGGCCGGGCAGGTGGGGAAACTGACGACCTACTGGCGGGGACCCTGGACCGTGGTGCGACAGATCTCCCCCTGGACGGTACTAATTGATGGCGGGGAGAGGGGTCGAGAGACGGTGGTCAATGTCCGCCGCTTAAAACCGTGGAAAGCGGCCCCGGCGAGAGAGAACCCCGTCACCCGAAGGCCCCGAAATCCCGGAGTACCCACACCCCTCGTGTTGGGGGGCCTCGCACACTACATGGGCCCCGCCGGGCCCCCGAGACGCCCCGATCCAGTCCGGAGACGGCGCGGACGACGGCCGCTAAACCCTTCCGCGGCTGAGTTTGTGCCCCAGCCCACAGGTGCCGGAGGACGGGGAGAGCTGCTGGAGTGGAGGAGGAGACCGCCGCAGGAGCTTACAGAGGACGGACCACACGCCCCCGAGGCCAGCCACCAGGTCCGGACGGACTCCCCGGACCCCCGCACGTTTCCTCGTGGGGCTGGGCGGCCCCAAGCGAGGTGCTCCAGTCAACTCCGGGGACAGGGACGCACCTCGGGGGGCCTATGTGAAATGCCCGCCGGCCCGGCGAAAGCCCGTTCGGCAGGCACCAAATCCCGGACCTCGCCACCACCAAGCAACGTGAGCCGACCCCGCCAGTCCCCCTCAACCTCACCTCACATGAAAACACACCCGCACTAATTTCCCCGCCCCCCCCATAGAGGGCTCCGAGGGGAGGTCGCCTGGCCGACCGGTTTTTATCCGAGAGACCCTTATCGGGATTAATTCTCACGGTTTCCGGCGATCAGGGAAATTGGATGACCTCCCCGTGCTACGTGGGCACCGCGGCGCTGCGGCCGGCCCCTAATATGGTGTGGTCCCGCGGCGTGGGGCATTCGGACCACCGCGGTTGAGGCCGCATTTCCCCCCACCCACACACCCCACGAGTCGACGGGGCAAGCAGGGGAGGCACGGGACAGCATGAATAGCGGGATCACAGGGGCTGTTGCGCATAGTCATGGAGGGTTGGGATAATTGCGCTTGAGTGCGCAGGCCCCATTGTTAGGGAGGGTAAGGGGTTAATTAGGATGTACGCCGCCAACGTCGCTCACTGATTAGCATATCAACAGCGCCCGGAACCGCCGTGCGCGGGCTCGGGGTGCGCGAGCCCATTGTTCAGCGCAGCATCCCCTTTGAGGTAGGGAGGATAAATAGAGGGGCGCAGAGGGGAAATCGCTCTCTTACTCCAGCGCCAGGCGACCAGACGCAGCTCGAGCCAGCGACCCGGACGTCCGTGCGACGCACCGAGGCACGCGGTTAGCACAAGGATCAGCGGACCGCCGTGGACACTTAACAGTGAGTAAGAAGGTGAATTAGAATCATAGCCGATAAATAGGGAATAGGTGCCGGTTTAGTGGAATAGGCCAGCCTCGTCGACTCACTGATTC